TGACAACCAGAGACAGGCCTGGCAGTGTGCACCCACACACAAACACACACTCAAGCATACACTCGTGCACGCACGTTTGCACAAGCCACACACTCTTTGGCTCAGTGGGAAAGGAGCTTTCTCTCCTTCACTGAGAATCAGGTGATGATATCAGCACAGGTCTGTGGAAGAAAGGAAACATAGTGTATATTTGGCACTTCTAGAATGTTCTCTGCCCCCTGCCATCCTTCCTGACAGGTCAACCACAGCTGAAAAATGAAGAAACGACCAACGAAATAGGAAGTTCTTTTTTTTAAATTTTTTTTTAACGTTTTTATTTATTTTTGAGACAGAGAGAGACAGAGCATGAACAGGGGAGGGGCAGAGAGAGAGGGAGACACAGAATCGGAAGCAGGCTCCAGGCTCTGAGCCATCAGCTCAGAGCCCGATGCGGGGCTCGAACTCACGGACCGCGAGATCGTGACCTGAGCTGAAGTCGGACGCTTAACCGACTGAGCCACCCAGGCGCCCCCGAAATAGGAAGTTCTAATTCAAATGGTCCAGGATCTGTAAACAAACCCGGAGTATTTATTGCATTTTATTGTTTTATCAGAGAGGCTGGCCGAGAAAAACCCCAGGCATCGCTATTTGAAATGCAAACACCCGCCCTGAAGGCACCTTTGGTGGGAGGAGACTGTTTCCAAGGGCTTGAGGGGGGTCGGCTCCACTCCCTCCGGGGGTGAGCAGTCACCTCAGATGCCGGGCATCTTCATTTTAGGAGGGTCAGTCCTGTCGTTTCTGCCTCCGCTACCCCACTCCCAGCCCTGAAGTTCCAGGGACCCTCTCTCCTGAACTAGAGGCCATGCGTGGCTCTGGGGAACCATGAAGGCGGCTGGTGACCTAGGGCAGGAAGTACTTGCTAAGTAAAGGTGGAATGAGCTGCCAGGGAGGCACCGTGGGTTCGGTTTCTGGCAACAAGAGCCAACTAAGCAAGGGCACGGGCGTCATGGGTGTGCGGCGCCGGTCAGGTGACCGCCTTTGCAGCCTTTGGACTGTAACCAGAGATATTATTAGTGCCAACGGGGAAGGGGATTGCCCGCTTAGTGGCCAGGAAAATTAATAGCCCGAGCATTCTTCTATCCTGCGTTCTCCATGCTGGCATTTTGATTTAAAAAAATATATATTGGGGCGCCTGGGTGGCGCAGTCGGTTAAGCGTCCGACTTCAGCCAGGTCACGATCTCGCGGTCCGGGAGTTCGAGCCCCGCGTCGGGCTCTGGGCTGATGGCTCAGAGCCTGGAGCCTGTTTCCGATTCTGTGTCTCCCTCTCTCTCTGCCCCTCCCCCGTTCATGCTCTGTCTCTCTCTGTCCCAAAAATAAATAAACGTTGAAAAAAAAAATTTTTTTTAAAAATATATATTGCTGCAGCTGTTTGCATATTCTGGAAGTGTGTGTGCATGTGTGTGGTTTGGTGTTTACAAGTTTGGGGTTATGGAGGGGAGTTTCCAGAGCAACGGAAGTAGCTGCTTGTCAGTCAGGGTTCATTTTGAAAATGAAAGCCTGAAAGCTTGGGGCCCCGCTCTGGGCCTGGGCCTGGTCTCTGAGGAGTCAGCAAAGGCCAGGAGGTGGCTTTGGCTGATGGGCTCCGTGCAGCAGCTACTTGATCGCTACTCTATTTTAGTTTTTATTTTTTTTAAAATCTTTTTTTTAACGTTTATTTATTTTTGAGACAGAGAGAG